GATCTCCATAGAAACGTGTCAGTTTCAATAGTAGTGTCAAAGTTCACTATATACAGACATTCGCGCAGATCCCCGTTTCGGAAACATTGCTCTGCTGGTCTTCCCGTTTAAACGCATTCATTTTGAGTCTCTCCTCCTTGCATATTCTATTAGTTGTTTTTTTTTTCCTTTTTATCTATTCTCTCTCGCTCCATTTTTGCTGGAGAGGTGAAACTACAGGGGCACTTCGGCGACGTTTTTTTCTTCATCCCGATGAGTTTTATTTAAAATATAGATATAAAATTCTGCTCTTCAGTTTTTGCACTCTTCCACTCGCGTGGACAGGAGTAAGGAGGAAGGAAGAAAAAAGAAGGGGATTTATTTCACGCCAGACTTTGGATCGCGCATTATATATTTTTATACATTATTATTCCGGTGAATTTCTTCTGCCTTATAACTGGTTATTTTGAATAAAACTGTAAGCTGTTATCCTGCGTTCGCTGTTTTTCGAGATTGGGTTCCTGAATGGCTGACTGCAATTTACCTTGGAACTGGCCTCCCGATACTTACAAATCCTGATCGGGTACATTTTCTATCGATACTGCTGTTTTGAATGTATTGATCTTCCTCTGCGCCTACTTTATCCTATGTGACCGCCTGCTGAGATTTGACGTTAAACAGACGAGTGTCTGAAATAATCTTTTTTACTCTTTAAACATCACAGCGATCTGTTCGCTTTATAGCACTTTCCGGGCCCGAGATATGGCAATGGTAGTTAGCGTTTGGCGAGATCCGCAGGAAGACGTGGCCGGAGGAACTCCGAGCGGCCCGAATCCAGCAGCTCAGCCGGCAAGGGATCAACAGCAGGCGGCGTCGGCAGCACCACACACTCCGCAGACCCCCAGCCAGCCTGGACCTCCGTCAACGCCAGGGACTGCGGGCGACAAGGGACAGAATCAGAATTCTGCACAAAATCAACAGCATATTGAATGTGTGGTTTGCGGAGACAAATCCAGCGGCAAGCACTACGGTCAGTTCACCTGCGAGGGATGCAAAAGTTTCTTCAAGAGGAGTGTCCGAAGGAACTTAACGTATACATGTCGTGCCAACAGGAACTGTCCCATCGATCAGCACCATCGTAATCAGTGCCAGTACTGCCGACTGAAGAAGTGTTTAAAAGTGGGCATGCGGCGGGAAGGTGATTACATTATTTTATCCAACGTGCATTTTCTATTCCGCTATGTGTGTGTGTGCGTGTGTGTGTGTGTATGTATACATATTTATGTATGTGTGCATATATATGTATGTGTGCATATATATGTATGTGTGCATATATATATATATATATATATATATATATATATATATATATTATATATATATGTGTGTGTGTGTGTGTGTGTGTGTGTGTGCGAGTGTGTGTGTATACATGTGTGTGTTGTGTATTTATTTGTGTGCGCATGTGTGCTTGTAAGCACAATTCATGTTCAACACTATCCATTCATGTTTTTATTGTATAAAACCACTGAGCTCTTACCACTCAAACATTAGGTTTTTTTTCCACGCTTTGGCGATTCTGATTTCTTTCTGGCAGATATAGACAGATATATTCAGACACCATAGAGACGTATATGTAGTGTATTTTCATTTAGATTATTTTTTCCAAAACTTTGCTGTTTTGTTTAAGCACAATATTTTGTCCTTGAGTGTCACTTAGATATTTATCAAACATATAACGTATAACTAATATAATTATCAACAACTAAGTATACGTTGTTAATTATTTTGCTTTGCTTTGAAGTGGATCAGTTTAAAAATACGTAGTCAGTGTTAAAAAATAATTGTTGTTTTCGAGGAATTCAAAATACGGCCTTGTAAAAGTACCACTTAGGCTACTTAATTTAGCTTTTAAAAGCTCGTAGCATTGACGCCTTCGTTATATTATTAAATACTGCAATTATTTGAAATCGTTTTAGTTGTTCTGTGGGTGTCATTATCATATAGGTCATGCAAACAAAAAAAAATCACAAATATTCGTATTCATTCTCAAAGCTGTTATTCCAGTTTAAACGGTAGTAAGGCCGAACAACCAGTATTTACAGTCATTTTGAATATTTTCACTACGATCCTCGATTATTAATTCTGCTTTTATTTTCTGCCCTGTTGTGATCAGTTGCTTTTGAGTATATATGCATTAAATGAAATTCTTACATATAACTACTTATGTGCATGTACGAGCACATTTACATAGAGGGAAACACTGCAAGAGTAAGATGTGAGACTGATGCAGTGGGAACTTCAAATAGAATTCGTGAGAAAAGCTGTCTGCAGTTAAAGGCAGACGGTCTCTTTATAATAGCTCATGCATATGCATAAACAATAGAATGCATTACTAATTTACAGATTACTTAATACATTTGATGTCTGTACAGAGGGATTTAAAAATCATATGCCATTTAACCAAATCCTAAGCAATAAAGGCTGTGCAAAAACTGTGTTTATCAGCCCTGGATGCACATTTCCTCTCCTTCTCTTTCTTTTCGTCAGCGGTTCAGCGAGGAAGAATGCCTCCAACCCAACCGAACCCAGGCCAGTACGCTCTGACGAATGGAGACCCTCTGAACGGCCATTGCTATCTGTCCGGATACATCTCGTTATTGCTTCGGGCAGAGCCCTACCCAACTTCACGATACGGCAGCCAGTGCATGCAGCCCAACAATATCATGGGTATCGAGAACATCTGCGAACTGGCAGCTCGCTTGCTCTTCAGCGCTGTGGAATG